ACGTTAGCTTCAAACATGTACGGTCTGTGCGTTGGAAGCTCAACCCGTCTCGTGGAACAGCGAATTCAGCCGGCGGGCTATAAAGGGACCGTGATGCATGACGCGCTTGTCGGACAGTACGTCATTGGCGGAGATGTTATGGGCGGTGGTGGGAGCGGCTTTTTTTCCGCGATTGGTGAGCGTCAAGGCCCGCTGCAGATTCCTCCAAATGAACTGGAGGCCCTTGAAACAACTGCACCGTCCCGCTGTCAGCACGCCGAGGGCCTTTACATGCAGTATTGGAATCACACTCCTGGCAACGCCTCAGCGATGGCGTTGAAAGTGGCGTCTACGTTTCGGATTGACACGTTGGAGCGTGGGGCAGATGCGAAGATGCCATCCGACGCCATTCTCATTGGACGAATGGTGCACCGTGACGCAGAGGCCCATGAAAGGACGAAGCGCCAGCTTCTGGAAATTACGAGGGCGGTGTTTCATGCCAAGCGGGAGACCGTGCCGCGGTTGCTGCCTACCATTGTGTTGTGTGGTGAGATGTGAGGACCCGCTGTTGCGTCGGTGTAATGAGTTCCTTGCTTTTTTTAGTGTTTTTGTGTGTTAGAGCTGCTGCGGGACCAGTGAAGGGTTGTGCTTGTGTCCTTTAAAAAGGAAAAGATACAGAAGTCTTATTGTCTACTTCCCTTGTATCTTCTGTGTCTGGGTGTCCGCGTCTGTGTGAAGCGTCCCTTCTGGTATTTTGTTGTTGTTGTTTTTGTTTGGTTTTTCCCACTTCCCAGCGTGGTGCTGAAGAGGAGAAGCAAACTCTGTACATGAGCACTGCTCCAAGAGGGAAGCAGTTTGTGATTGCACTTTGTAGCTCGGAGAGGAAGAAGCCATTCTTTGAAAAGCTGCAGCGGTATGTAGAAGAGAAGGAAAGTTTGGAGAGAGAAGGTGATGACGGCGCTCATGTCACCTTTTCGTTTGTTTGGATGCAATACGACCCGGAGAGAAACAAGTTCTCGACTGGAACGGAAAACGACGCGGATTTGGTGCTGCACAAAGTGAGCACGCTGCCTCCCAAGGCCGTGGGTGCCCTCTGTCGGTGGTGTGCTGCAGCCTCGCGAAGGCGTCGCCGTGGACGTATTCCGCCTGTTATTATTATTGATCCGGTGGAGTTGACACGGCTCGTTCTGCAGAGGTCGTTGCTTTACAAGATGTTGGACGGTCGTTTGAAGCGGCCATTGTGTCCAGTTCCTCACTCTTGGCTGTGGATACGAGACGGTGCATCGTTGACCCCGCTCGGGTTGTCTTCGTTTGTATTGAGTGACGAGGAAGACACCGAAGTTATGGGTGCAAGCCAAAGTTCACGTGAGACATGGTGGATAGTGAAGTCGGACATCAGCACCGGCCCGTCCTTCACGCACCAGATGGTCATATGGAAGGGTTGCAGGCCCGAGAAATCCCTGCCGGAGGAAGTGCTCTCACTGCTTTCATCCTGCGTCAACAGTTTTGTTCTGCAGGAGTTCTTTTTGCATGCTATTTCAGTTGTCATCAAAGTTTACTGCATTGGCACTGTCGTTTTTGTGAAGGCTGTCCCAACAGCGCCGTTGCTGCGATGTGTCTTGTCGAAGATGGGTGGTCCTGTTTTTGTGGATTCTCAAGAAAAATTCCCCATTGATGCTGGCTGGGTAGAGGAGGAGGCGCGCTGGAGGAATTACCTTGCAGTGGGCGGAAGAGCCTACACTCAGTGCAGTCAAATTGCTGAGCAGTTGGTGCGGGAATTGGGGTTGACGCTATTTGGCTTTGACCTGCTGTTGGTCCCAAAAAAAGTCTCTGGACAGTGTGATACGCCGCTGGGGGCGTCATTGCGCGATGCACCTTTATTTGATGAAGTCACCGGCGCCCCCTCGGCGCTGCTTTGTTCCGCCACACCAGTAATTGTGGATGTAAACTACTTTCCGGGTTTCTCCGGAGTGGAAAACGTCGCTGAGCATGTGTTGGATGTCATTAAGTCAAAGGCACTGGGTACTCCCGTCTCGAAAAGATCCTCAACTGAGGGAAAACTGTTTAACGGCAACTTCTGCTGCTAAAAGTGGAGATGAAGGGCGAAACATTTAGGCATTTTTCTGTGTGTGTGTGTGTTTGTGTGTGTTTTAAGATGCTCTATGCGTGTGAGCAAATGCATCTACTGCCGTAAACGCCGTGTTATATCTCTACTTTTTTTTTTTTTTCCTCCCACCGTCTACGTGGGACGGGTTGGACGACTGCTGTTGTCATTTCCCACGGCATGAAATGCTCAGTTTTTGTTGTTGTTTTTCTTGTCTGTGTACTCTGTCCACTGTTCCTGCTGCTTTTACCGTGTCGGGTCGTTCTCTTTTACCATCCAAAGGCAGTAGTGTTGGAAGCAACGTCCCCTGTGCGGTGGGAGAAATCAGAAGGGATTGCAGACCTGCCAAGCGTACATTTCAGCATAGAGAGAGAGAGAGAGGGAGGGAGAGAATAATTAAGACCATAGAAGAAAACTAACGGCAAAGAGATGAAAGAGGTGCCGCAGACTTCCAGGGAAGATAAATCCTGGCGACATGCCGCATCCGGAAGTGCCTTCCCGCCAGCGCTTCCGCCCAGGCATCCTGCCACAGCTGCCGTTCGCGGCGCCGATGAACCCACGGCTCCACCCTCCCTCATAAGAGACAATGCCGAGGCAAAAATTTTGCAGCACCCACTTATCACGGCAGCGGACTACTGCGATCGAAAGCATCTTCTTTCACATATATCTTTTTTGAGTGGACAACTGCAGCGGGCGGAGCTGTTGCTTCAAAAGGCCTCTCGCGCGATGGTCTCTGATGAGGAATTAGCTCGTTTTGACCCTCTTCTTGCCCAGGGACATATTGACCGTCTCGAGAGTTCCCTTGCGCAGGTTGCCTTGTTGCGTGAGGTGGAACTGGAGCGGAGCCGCGCACTGGAGGAGGAAGTTAATAGACTACGTCTGGAACGAATTTCTCTCATAGAGCGTGTTGACGCATTAGACGGTAGAATGGCGACGTTGGAGGCAGAGAACAAGCAACTGACTAATGCCCTGTCCTCCGCTCAGCTTGAGGTGGAGCGGCTGCGGTTGGAGGAGAATTCCCTGCACCGCCGGCTGACGGTGATTGACCAGCTGCAGGAAGATGGTCATCGCTACCAGGGCCTCAATGTTATCGTTGCCCCACCGCGAGAGGCTAATGGACGACAAGAGTGTACCAAGTCAATGAAGGAACTGCAGATGCAGGAAACATTGCAGAGACTTTCACTCCTGGTGGACATGTTGATGGAGCCCATTTGCATTGCCTTTGATGCGGGTGTGGTGTGGATTACGGAAACGCAATTACATCGTGCTAGCCTGCAACTACAGAATGTGACGGTGCCGGGTTACTCGAACGATGCCTTTGGATTACAAACAAGTGTGGAAGGGAATTCCCCGCTTGGAGATGTGGATGATGTTACATTGACACCTGCCGCCATTGGCGTGGAGTTTTTTAGTGAGGCGAAATTACGCAATGAGTTGAAGGTGGCAAGAGAAAGATGTCGCGTGGCAGAACAGCAGAGGGAGCGGATGAAATGTTTACTTCAAGAGGAACAAAAACGCACGGAGGATATGGCAAAGGAGCAATACCAGCAGCTCCAGCAGGTCCATGAGCAGATGGTGCATGAGCGACAGCACATTATGGAGAGTCTCGTGGGGGAAGTGGAAGAAAAGATGCGGAATGCCTTCCGTGACGGCCGTCTTTACGAGAAAAGACTTCGAGAAGAGAAGTTGCAGAAGCGGAGAGTTTCTGCAGGCCAGTCCAATGGCGCTGCTGGTTTTGCTCAACAGCGGCGGGCGGGTAATTTGCCTCATGGTGCATCCATGGGCTTGGAGGTGGAAAAGCAATTCACTGCCGGTAGTCGCAGTAGCAGTGGCAGTACTGGCGGGAGAAGCAGCGGGCGGTAGTCTTTTTTTTTTTTTTTTTTTTTTTTCCTTTCAGCCAACCACAACAACAACAAACCAAATGAAGAAAAAAACATAGATGACCATTGTTCTTAGTTCTTGAAGTTGGTGAAGGACATCTAAGTTCACTCTCTTTCTCTCGCTTGTGGTCGTTGTTCCTTTCTTTTTTTTTTTCTTTGGATCCTCTTGCATGGAGAGGAAATAATTGTCTCTGCACCTCCTCCTTCTCTTTTTGTCTCTCTCTTTTCTTTCCATTTACTCTCGTGGCTGCCAGTAGCAGCTAAGCGTTGTGGACAACCTTTTTTTTTTTTTTTTTGCGAGGAGGGGAAGTCTTTTATGGCGGCCCCGTTGACGGCGTTTCTGCTACTTGCAGGGGCGTATTACGTCTCGCGACTGGCGCCTCGAGTGACACAGCGGGTTGCAATGGCGCAGGGCGGAATGGGCGCCACCCAAGCCCTCCATGCGCACCAATTGTACCGCCGTCACGAGAAAAGTTTTGAGGCCAACATGTCGGAACGGGAGGCGTTGTTGCTGCTTGGTTTTTCGGAAGATGTCGCTGATGGAACTGGCGCCCGCCCATCGGATAAGGAGGTGAAGGAACACTACTACACGCTGATGAAACAGTTGCACAGTGATGTGAATGGCAGCCCATACATCGCGACAAAGCTCAATGAGGCAAGGGCAGTATTGTCACGGCGATGAATCAAAACGATTGTAAAGACAGATGCATGCACACAGTCATATATGCCCAGTGAGCCATGTTGCCTTATACTTTTTTTTGTTTTTGCGCGTCATTTGGCGGAGGCGACGTCCTTTTGTGCGTGTGCGTGTTTATGTGTGTATTTTGGTTTTCTTTGCTTCCCGCCAACCCTCTTTTTATTTTATTTCTCTCTGCGGTGGTTACATGTATATTTGCTCCTTTTTTTCCGCCGCGACAACTTTAATGTTTGTTCACTACATCCCTGGGCCCCTTGTTTTTTAATGCACACACACACACACACAACTATGCCTTATGGCTTGGGCAGAGGAGCAGGAAAAGAGAGGGTGAGAGAGTCGTATGCAGTACTCGGATGTGTTAACAGAAGTGGCCGAACGACTCCAAGCTGCGCTTAAAGTGGCGGCGCAGCAGCTCCATTCTGGACGACCTGTCGAATGCTCGTTGGCGCTTCTCCCACCCGTCGCGCTGGAGGAAATGTCGCTTCGATGGGGCACAATCGATGTGCTTGACGATCACGGGGGCCATTTTGAGTTGGTTGTGGGTCTTGACGACAAGATGCTGACGGCGTCGTTTGTGGGACTCCTGCGGCGAATGCAAGAGCCTCACGAGCCACATAAAGATGGGGAAAAGTCTCCGCCTCCGATCATTGGCCCCCTGGTCAAAAGACTGTCGCAGGAAGGCGTGGTGCCGGTGTTGTTGCTGCTGGTCCCCGCACATACCGGTCTCTGGAGTGAACGACGACGATGGCTAAAGAGAACAGTCGTCGCCCATGACGTGATGGAGGAGAAGGGGGAGCATTTTCTGCCGCTGCTTTTGCTGCAGGAACTCCTACTGACATCCCTTCTGGTGAGCTGTCACCACAAGGTTCAAGAAGTTTGGGTGCACCGCTGGTGGGTGGAGCAGCAAATGCTAAAATTGGGTGGCATGGACCTGGAGGCCTTTCATATACACGACCGTTCAGTGTTGTTTAATGCTGCTGATAAACATCCGATGAATTACAACGCCTGGAACCATCGACGGCAAGTGTTCGCGTTTCACTTTCAACAAGACGGGAATGAGGAGAGTGTTAACAGAGCATTTTTTCTGCAGGAATTGGACGTCGTTGTGCACTTTTTTGAGAAGCACAACGGTGACACATCCGCCGCGGCGTATTTAACATTTCTTCTTGAGCAGGCAACAGCGAAGAGAGGAGCCTATTTTGATAAGCACGACTCCGTGGCATTGCACGTGTGGGGGAGGCTACTAGCTGTTACCACGCAAGAGTTACGCCGACATTACGACAAGGGACACGAGGCTGTCTGGATGCTGCGTCTTGCGCTGATGCGGTGGGCTTTATGCGAACGCCCCCCGTGTGGCTGGACACTCCAAGACGAACTGGATTTTGTTTCCACCTACGCGTCGGTGGTGACGATGTTGGGGGAGGATGAGGATGAGGGAAACATGGAGCTCGACGTCACGTGGGTGGATGTCTCGGGCTCGTACTGGTGGACGTCGTACCACGCGGTGCGTTATGGCCTCCAACTGTTGAGAATGCTGCGTATGTAACTTGACGATCCATCCCTGAGTGTGCATGTGTCTGTTTGTGTCTTCTCTGTGGCCCGATCTGGCTGTCTTTGAGGTTAGGGTGTTGTTTGTCCCTTCAACAAATATGCGTTTTCTGTCTATGCATTCGCGTGTTTTCCTCCATGAGGACGCATGGGGTGCTGGGTGCAGATACCCACTTGCAGGCGACATTGAGGCCAATGACACCAGCGCCGTCGACGTTCATTGCCTTCTACCCCAAACTTTGCTGTTGCCACAGAAACGGCCCCTCCGCTGGCAGGACCGCATCGCAGTAGATAAAGAAGCGAGGAATACATTGACAATGCGCCGGTGACCCCTGTTTTACCTCATACTGCCCATTTGCAGCGATGTCATTACTTTTTTTTTAAATCACTCCTTCATTAATTGCTGCATTTTGTCCTCAAAGAGAAGGGGATATTCACTCCAAACGGTAGGAAAGAAGAAGAGAAAAAAAAAAAAAAAACTTTGTTAGGGAAGGTGATTGTGTGGGGTTAGGGGAAAAATATACATACACATTTACATTCTCACATCCAAAGCATGACGGATAATGGCGAGGTTCATTTTGTGCTCCGTGCGGAGGGGTGTATTCACTCCAGCGATGTGCGACACGTGTCGTGCTCCAGCGGGGTGCTTCTCACTGCGTCGCGTGACAACACCGCCATGATACTCCCAGAGCAACCTCCCAATGACACCATTAAATCCGGTCTTGTGTTGGTAGGCCACACTGCATTTGTGAACTTTGTTACCTTTCATCCCTTCATGACGCTTCTTGATGGTGAGTCCTGCATTGTCACGGGCAGCAATGATAAGCACGTGGCGTTGTGGAACCCCGTGACTACGGCGCTTGAGGCAGTTCTGGATGGCCATGCGCATGGTGTCTGCTGCGGTGTTGTGATGTTACCAAACTCTGGTGACATTGTGACGGGCGATTGGGGTGGTATGTGTATCGTGTTTGACAGTACAACAGGCGGCGTGAAGCAAAATTACACCGGACACAAGACGGCGGTGCGGGCTGTTGCTCAGTTGCCAGGAACGAGCAGCGTTGTGTCTGCCTCTGGCGACAAAACGATCCACCAGTGGGATGTGGAGACAGGGGCGACGCTGTCGGTTTTTGTTGGCCATGAAGACGTCGTGCAATGCATCTGCGCAATGAGTGCAACCCGTTTTGCCACAGGGGGAAATGATGCAACTATCATGATTTGGGACACTGAGACGGGCACCACCCCACTCCGCCTCTTGACAGCGCACGACAGTCTAATTTACGCCCTCTGTTACTGCCCAACACGGCAACTGTTGTTTTCCGCCTCAGAAGATCGATCGTTGAAGGTGTGGCAGGGCGGCGTGCTGGATTTGGCCTCGTCGAACACGCAGACGGAAAGTGTTGTCATACAGAGCATCAACCATCCATGTGTGGTGTGGTCCGTTTGTTTCACAAGTACAGGCGACATTGTGACTGGCGGTTCTGACGGCGTCGTGCGCATGTGGACGGCAGACGATGAAATGATGGCATCTGTGGAGAAGCTGCAGACACTTGAGGCCGCTGTGGCCGCCCAAACAATTGACGTCAAAGTTCTCACCGTTGCCGGGATTGACACAGCGTCAATGCTTTCGGTGGCTGATCTGCGGTTTCGTAAAGGGACGCATCAGGGTGAACGTCTCATTGCTCGCACAGAGGCAGGCACAATTGAGGTTTATGCCTGGAACTGCGGTCGTTGGGACAAAGTGGGGACTGTTGTTGAGGGGCCGCAAGGGCAGGCATTTACAGGCGCAGCGCAGCCAAGAGAAAAGAAGTACCTGAACGGCGTGCCGCACGATTATATCTTTGATGTGGATGTGAATGGAAAAATGCTCAAACTTTCGTACGACAAAGGCCAGAGCATCTTTGAGGCCGCGCAGAACTTTATAAATGAAAATCGCACCCTCGTGTCCCAATCGCACAGGGAGGAGATACAAAATTTTATTCTAAACAACGTTGATCCCAGAGACATTCAGCCGGGAACAGGAACCGCCAACGCGGTGACAGGAGCAGGCAATCATGCTTCTGCCTCTGCCTCTGCCGCTGTTGGTGGGGGCGGCGGGGAGCCGGTATTCTCTGAATACGCCCGCGAGGCCGCGGCATTGCAGCAAGCCGGTGTCTCAACCACCCCAACTTGGGGAGAGGCGCTGCGCAATATGGAAACGGTGGGGGCGTCTAGAAGTGACGTTGCCTTTTCAGGTTATGCACGGGAAGGGCTATTGCTTGAGCAAGAAGCGGCACGGCGAGCAGGAGCGCCTCCGGCCACAGCGGAGGAAGCAAACCGCAGTATCGTCAGATGGAACAACCATAAACGCTTCACATCGTATAATGCAGCCGGGGCAAAGAAGAAGATTGATGAGTTGACGGGTAACACGCGGCTCAGTGCTTTGGTGGAGCGGGTGGTAACAGCGGCCGAGGGGGAACCAAACAGCGCCCTCCTGGACGATATTGCGGCGTTGTACCACGAATTGCCCGAGGCCTCTCGTTTCCCTGCACTGGACCTGCTCAGCCACCTCCTTGCTGTTACAGTGCGTCCGTTTGGTTGGCTGCAGCTGCTTTTGTCGGATGACGGCAACGGAGGGGATGCACCCAATGCACGAGCGTTTTTTGAGGAATGCATTCAAAATTTGCCTCATGTCCCTGATGTGGAGGCTCTCGTGACAACACGTCTCTTTGCTCACGTGATTGCAGCGCTGGACAAACCGCCACCAGGAGCGAAACTGACTGCGGATCAGTTGGCGTTGATCCTCGCAATGCTCACGAAGGCACCCCAATCGCTTCTTCAGACGAAAAACGGCAATGTGAAGACGGCAATATGTGCTCTTCTACAAAATGCAGCGGTGTTACTTGCAGGAGATCCGGTGGTGCTTGGAAAAGATGGTGCGTCTGATGCCACGCGTGGAGTAATGCGTCTGCTAGCGCAGCTGCTCCTTTTTGAGTCCATCTCCTCTTCACACACGCGAGACCTTGTGGCGACGGTCATGACGCTCATGCTTTCTGACGGTAGCGGGAAAGATATTCAGACCTCTGTCGTTGCGGTGGAAGTGGGGCGCAATACACTTGCTCACACGTTGCGAGCATTAAAAGCGGGGCCGGAGCCGCATTGCCGGGAGGCGGCCATAAAACTTTTGCATTGCTTGGACGACGCGGAATTGCAATGAACCGAAAGTGTGAGTGAAATCCTCACAAAAAAAAAAAAAAAAAAACGATTTTTCCGTTGAAAATCATCGGTTTGGCTGCTTGCCCACACCATCACCTTTTTCCACTCCTCCCCTATCGTTGCACAATTGCAAGGTAAGTTGATTTTTGGAGCATCCTTTTGGGTGTGTGGGGAGGGCCGCGTGCACAAGAGAGTGTGACTGAGTAATTTATTTGCTTTTCAGCCTTGGTGGTGGTGGCATGCGTTTTAATCCGCCGCCCTTTCTTCCTCTTTCTTCTTTTTTTTTTTTTTTTCCCTCCCTTTCTGTTTGAACTTTTATGGATTCTCCATCATCCGTCTATTTATTTTATTTTATTTTTGCCTTTCTGTCTTTTCACTGTCTCTCTCTCTTTCTTGCCTTTGTGACTGCGTTGTCTGCAATGCAACGGGGAATTAAGAGAGAGGAAAGAGAAGAAGCGACGACTAACAGCAGCTGAAACGCCCAAACGAAAAGAAGAAATGAAGACCGATAGTGTAGTGAGGTTTTTGAGCCTGGACATGTTGGACTCGGATAAGCCGCTCATCCGTGAATATTTTCGTCACGCACACCACGTTGCCATACAGAAGTTATTGAAGCATCGTGCGTTGAGCCGCACTCTTTTTGAAATCCCGTCGCTCTCGTCTCAGTCCGGTATCTCAGAATCTAATTTCACAGCCGAGCGTGATGAACTGAGTGCCGACAACAACGCCGCATTCCCCGCCTCGGATGCGCCTGCCCGTCTGAAGTTGTTTGTTCTTTCCCCATCCGTTTCAGAGCCGCAGCGGTACTGCCAGAAAGGCGTCCTGAGTGAAACGGAGTCCCTTCAAGCAAAACATGCCCTGGAGTACGAGTTTCTTATCCCCGCCATCAGCTACGCTGTCGAGAGCGTCATTGAGGCACATAAAATGTGGAAGCAGCGGTTGGATAAGCAGAAAGAGGACCATCAGAAGAACTCGGAAGCGGAAGGGGAAACAACTGCCCCGTCAATTGAATCTGCCGCTGCCGTCGCCCCAAATGGACATACGAACGGTCTTGGAGAAGTTCTTGACGCGGAGGTTACACGGGAGTCCTTCAATGTCTTCGACACGAGCACAGCGCCGAGCATCTCCTTTTCGGGATACGTCAATCGCATTGTAGAATACACATATGTGTCCCCGTCTGTACTCTTGATTGCCTGCCTTTATATTGATCGGCTCCTCTCCCGTAAACCATCTCTCTTCCTTACGAAACTCAACATCTTCAAGCTATTTGCCTCTGCAACGCGCGTTGCCAGTAAAGTCATGGACACACGGACACTTAGCAACAAGAACTTTGCCAGCATCTGCGGAGTCAGAAACTCGGAAATGAATTGTCTTGAGGCACATTTTATTCGGTTTCTTGAGCTGGACCTCTACGTGCAGGCCGAAGAGTTCTACCGGTACGTGGATGACCTCGTCACGACGCCCCGTTCCAGAAGACCTTCAACCAAATCGGAAGTTCTGAGTGCTGGTGAATTTGATGAGGAGGATGCGTTGATGTTGCCAGTTTTACGACGGCTGAGCATGGCTAGTGGAAACAGCAGCGGTGGGAGCAGAATGAGCCGTGGGGGAGAAGAGAAGAAAAGCGATTTATTTCCGCCCTTCCTCCCATCACGCGTCAGTATTGCATCGGCGAACAGTCAGGCTTTCACTCCGCCAAAGGGTTTGACCAGTGCTGCTGTTAAAAGCAATGATTATGCTAGCGAAGTCGGCAAGAAGACAAAGAAGGGCGACAGTGTGGCTGTAGCAGGGAATGGCGTGGTGCCTGTGATTAGAGTGGAGAATGAAGAAAAGTGCTTCTCTGGCCCCTTTTTCTCCCGTTCAACGACAGCCGCTACTATGTCGATGCCAGCGCTCCCGCGAAGGGCCTCGCGTCTCCCTGTCTGCAGCAACAAGAGCATTAGCAACATCAGCATCGGTAGCAATAACATGAGCGTTAGCAGATCCTTTGAAACCAGCGCCGCCCGCCAGCACCGTGAAAGAGCGTAAGGGGGAAGTCCAGGCCAGGCCAGGCTGGGGAAAAAGGAGAAGGACGAAAAAGGTTGTTGTTGTTGTTGTTTTTTCTCACCAGGACTAGTGCGAGAAAACTGCATGATTTTCGTTGTTTTCTGCTCTCTTTCCTTCTTTTCCCTCCCGTGTTTCCTCCCTTTTCTCTATCTTTCTCTCTGGATGCGGTGAATTACGGCAGCAGTCAAGCCGGAGAGGACAAAGTGCGAACAAAGAGAGAAGAGGAAAAGGAAAAAAAATATTTAATAAAAAATTGATGGAACTTCTTAAGAGGGAAAGGGGAAAAAAAACTATTTATATATATAAATATATAAATAAATATATATATAAATATATATAATAAAAAGAAAAATGGAAAAACAAAAAA